GATGGCAAAATTCACATGAAATCCACCGGCGGCTTCGAAGGCTATTGTCGACTTATTGTTAACCTTGTTCATAGAATTCCACGGTGACGTGCAAATGACTGTGAACGCCGCTTCTAAATACTCCGGCATCGTGCGTCATTCGCTCCGCGGCGGTGGCGATCGCCACATTCCTCGTGCGGTGATTTTTCAAACCGACACGTGTCAGACGTGCAGATGGGCGCTCGCTCATCGCGACACAAGCGTTGCTCTTTGATACGGCTGGCCCGCCGCACCCGCTGCATTCTTAACACCTTATTGACAGCCCACCCACACACTGTATGCACCAATAAACACGTATGATAGCGACTTTCCACAAGGTCACTGCTGCTGGAGCGCTTCCAAAGTCAACAAGAAGAGTAATAAGTGCGCCACGTGAGCAAATGGCATTTCCCCAGAGCTCGCGGAAATCAAGTCCTTTTCCACGGAATCGTGCGTCTTTCCTTCGAAAAGGTGACAAGACTCGAGTGATTGAGGCCTTTTTTTTTTCCATCGCGCTGTGAGCCAAATGAACGAGCGCTTTCAAAATATCGTTGCGAGATGTCTTTTTTGTGTCTCTGCTCCGGCTGAAACGCGCAACACGTGACCGCTGACCTCATTTTCAGCCGCGGATGAGGAATTGAAAACAAAAACACTGGCAAGTGAGGCTAATTTGCCGTGAGTTGGCCCCCCCTCCCATCGCAGACACACTCATACATGCGCGAACGCCCGCACGCACGCACACGCACGTTACACTTTCCGAGGGCCCCGATCGGAATCAAAACAAACATTCCACCCTCACCCAGCCCTGATCTCAGGGTAACACAAGCAGCTATGTTACTCAACTTCAACTTCAGGGCAATGTGATTGTGTAATGTCTTCAACATGCTTTCCAACCTACACGACGAGTCTTTCCCCTCTCCGCTGGAAGTGTTCACTCCAGTAGATGTTGCCAAGTTGAACAAATCACACCGTTAAAAAAAGCAACACAACAAGATTTAGCACAAACACCGTGTTGTGTTATATGGCATGACCCCCTGCCCAAAAAAACACTAAAAATGACATTTGACATAGGCCATGAAGTTAGTTTAAAAAAAAAAAAGGTGAATGCGGGCAGAGTGAGATGGAAGGGCGGACTGTCGAACTTTTCTCTACATTGGAAGATACAAATAAACCATTTCTGATGAAAAGAATAACACAGATTATCTTCAAAACACTGTCGTGAATCGAGTTAATTCCGTTTTAAAATCATTTCTTCCACTCATTGATGAAGACGTCACATTAATGATCCTCAAGTAAGTGAAAAATGGTCACCTGACGACAGTTTGTTTCAACATGCTTTCCAACCTACACGACGAGTCTTTCCCCTCTCCGCTGGAAGTGTTCACTCCAGTAGATGTTGCCAAGTTGAACAAATCACACCGTTAAAAAAAGCAACACAACAAGATTTAGCACAAACACCGTGTTGTGTTATATGGCATGACCCCCTGCCCAAAAAAACACTAAAAATGACATTTGACATAGGCCATGAAGTTAGTTTAAAAAAAGAAAAGGTGAATGCGGGCAGAGTGAGATGGAAGGGCGGACTGTTGAACTTTTCTCTACATTGGAAGATACAAATAAACCATTTCTGATTAAAAGAATAACAGATTATCTTCAAAACACTGTCGTGAATCGAGATAATTCCGTTTTTAAAATCATTTCTTCCACTGCTTCTGAATGTGGAGATTGGGCTGCTGCCGAGTGCAGAGCCGCTTCTACTCCGTGAGCTGGAGGGCTGTTGGCCACCCCAAAAAACTTGGAAAAAATCCTCCTCACCTTATTTGCCTCATGACGTGAACGAGACAAAACAAACACGGTCTGATTGCTTTCTTGACTGGCTCTAGCGCATTTCAAAAAGTCGACGAATTGTACAGTGTGGGCCTTTTCCTCCTTCCATTTTTCTGCGGGCCGCCCTCAAACGAAAACATCTGGACACCCCCGATTGACAGTCTGGGTCCTGTGATTGGAGACTGGCTCCTGTCTGTTCGGTCAAGTGTCTTTGCGTGTCAAGAAAAAAAAACCCAAACATCAATTTATTATTATGATTATTGCCGTTGTGATTGACAACCGACCAGGCCAGCGTGTTGATCGGCTTTTGCCTGAAACGAGCTCGGATGGACTCCATTAACGGACTCCATCGTGAGGAGGATAAAGGGAGAGAATACAGTCGAATATGGATGCATAGGTGGATGATTTATTGACGTTATCCGCTCGTTCTTGACTCCGAGTGAAGCCCTCCCAAAATACCAGAGAGACAATGCATGCATTGTGGCCTTCCCAAGACTTCTTCTGTAGCTTGTGTCCTGACATGTCTTCCTTAGAAGTGTGTCGCATGGTGGTGCCATCCATCCTGTGGCGAGATTACGGAAGGCTTTGGCTGTCTCAGTTGGAGCGGCGCTCCAGAGGCAATTGAAACACGACAAGTTTTGTGGCATTTTTTGTTTTTTTGTCAAGCTGTACCTCTCACCCCGTCTTTCGTCGCTTCGCAAACGCAACCTGTGAGTTGCGCCATTGTTGGGGAACGGGAGGTGCAGGTGTGTGTACGAGTGAGTGTTGGGATGGAGCTGCACGCTTTGCAAATTGATGTGGGCTTTTTTTCACTTTTGTTTTTTTTTTCCCCTCCCCTGAAGGCTGCAGTTAGCCAATGGTCTTGTGGCCTAAGAGGAAGGAAGCCCACGGGGGTTGAAAGACACAGTCGTCTCTTTGTTTGCACTCCATGTTTCCCCACTGGCTCCTTGTGCCCTCTGGGCCTCCGTCATTAGTCATTCAAATACTCTTGACTGTCTGCTACTGCTGATTCATGCATGTCTTTGGCTGGTTCTTCTCATCTTTCGAGGGGAGAAAAAAAAACATTTTGTGTGTGTGTGTGTGTGTGTGTGTGTGTGTGTGTGTGTGTCCCCTCTGTTTTAATTGTGGAGGGCAGAGTCGAGTGTGTCTTGCCGGCTATTGGAAACTAACACCGATCCACTTGTTAGCTGATGCTAATCTGTGCTAACGATGCAACTCTGCTTACCTTCCTCACAAACACGTTTTCTCAAATATAGGCACGATGATTTCAGATACCGAAGACCCAACGATTAATTAGGACACGAGCAATTAAAAGCTCTTTTTTTTTTTTTTTTCATAATATGTTAGCACACTTTTTTTTTGTGGGTGGGTGAGTAGGGGGGCGGGGGTAGTATGATTTCATAAGACACGCCGGCTCCTCTTACATCACTTTCAAAAGAAGTTCGAGGCTGCAGGTCAACGAGGGCCCCTGCGCTCTCACGTGTCCATGTGAGTGCGTGTGCATGCCTGAACCGAGAGAGGCCGAGTGAGTGGGTGTGAAGTTGGTAGCAACACGGGGCGTGTTACGGTGTGTGTGGCGGGGGAGGTGGGGGGGGGCAATGGTTATATGTGGGCCACAGCGCTCCCTATTCCGCTGCTGGCTGCCTCAGACCAGTTTGAGTGTGACTGAACCTCCCGCGGCACGAGGAAATGTGCCGCCCTCCTCCCTGTGCGCTGAGGCTTACAAAAGTGTTCACATTTCCAAACGGCTCATTCGACAAACTGCAAAAGACCTTCGTGTTGTCTCGAGTTAAATTCAAACCTAAATCACCGAATGTGCTCCGTAGGACACATTTCAATTCGATATCGGGAGCGTATCAGCAGAGATTCTACAACTGGAAGTCGCTCTCTTGTCATGTTGTGGAAAGCCCCCCCACCTCTCTCGGCCGCAGAGAGGTTCACATTTCCAAACGGCTCATTCGACAAACTGCAAAGACCTTCGTGTTGTCTCGAGTTGAATTCAAACCTAAATCACCGAATGTGCTCCATAGGACACGTTCCGATTCGATATCAGGAGCGTATCAGCAGAGATTCTACAACTGGAAGTCGCTCTCTTGTCATGTTGTGGAAAGCCCCCCCACCTCTCTCGGCCGCAGAGAGGTGGGGGGGGGCAGGTAACGTGAGATTCACGTTTTCTGCTCTGTTGACCAGGAGCATCTCTGCCGCAGGACGTCAACGACAATGACGAGGGGATGGAGCCCAACCTGCGTCGCATTTGTCCAGCGCGCTCTCTCAACGAACTCCTCTTCACCTCTCTTCTCCCTTTGCGCACACACTGACCTACTTTCCTCCTGACCTGTTTGTGCAAGCTCCTGTGCGGTTCATCTCGAGTCAGGAAAGCAGAGGATGCGGCAAAATCTCGCTCCACGCCGAAAACGTCACGGGGATAAGATCTGGTTTTCGTAGCTTTTTACATCGCCGTGCATACGTTTGTGTGCGCGCATGCGCTTTGTCGAATGTGACCGGAAGCACCGTGAAGGGCACTGATGCGTCAGCCTCCAAAAGGTGCTTTGTTTGCAGGCTTAGATGGAGGTAGTGGGCACTCCCCCCCCCACCCCCTTTCTGGATTCTGCTCTCTCTCTTCCTTCTTCCCTCAGCAGCCCCTCCCTTTGCCCCTTTTTTGTTGCCATCATCCTGACTTTTTTTGGTACATGAAAAAGTGAGAACATTTTGAGGGGGGGAGATGAAAAAAAACTTCAGCTGCTTGGGTTTTTCTTATTTCATTCTATTCATATAAATGTCAACGATGGATGAACGCATCAACTCTTGAGTATAAATAATCTCCTATTCTTCAAGATGATGCATTCAATCCTGTATGTGAGTGATCATAACAATATATATCTTGATTTTTAAGTGGGGCGGGGGGTGTTTCTGTATTTGGACGTTGGCAGCGGGAGCCAAGCGGCTCACTCGGGCGCTGCCCAGCTTTGTGCACATCCCACCAGCATGACTCACCCTCTTCAGTTGTTTTGCTTGTCACCTGCTCTGCTCCATGTTACGTCTGCTCAACATGTTTTTTTTCGGGCAAGACCCGTTCAAGTCATTCGGGGGGGTAGCGCTGATTGGAAAGAGGAAAACGGTGATCATGATAACAGAAAACGCAAAGTGCTGCTCAGTACCAACACAAGCCTTTTTATTTCTCTGCACAACGGTCACCACGATTATATTTGTCATTCATCATCTGGTTAAGGATGGCTTTACAGCTGTGGTTTTTGGAGATTTTCCATAAATGATAGAAATGTTTGCGAATGGAACAAAATAAAAATAACGTTAAGACATTCGATTGGTTTAACCTTCTTTTTTTTTTTTTTTTACATATATTTTTCCATCTTGAAATGCCTCCCACCTCCATTCGTGTTGTTCCGTCCATGTTTCGTGTCAAAAGGAAGAGACGGTAATGACCAGCAACTGCCACCTATCTCGAAATACCACGATCTGTGCTCGTTTCCTTTTGTCTACTTGTCTCTTTTTCATCAAACCGTCAGCAAAACCACAAACGTTACCGGTTAATACACACTGAAAAAGGGGGCGGGCGGGGAATTGGTATGAGTCGAAAACATGTCATCGGGATCGAGAGGATAAACGCCACAGTACGGGGAACAGAACAACACCGTGATGGGGGAGGGAAAACAAAAAAAAGATACAAAACCAATGAAATAAACATGGCAGTGTTGTTCAAGGGTGAGGGAATTTTACATTTATACACAAGTGTCAAAAAGCCAAACATGGTACATATACTTCTGTTTAACTTGGACCCAGCGCAGGCTACACGCAAACTCACTTGAGCGCTAGCGCTACATTGAGAACTGGATATTGGAGGCGGATGGCTAACGGAAATTGTGTTCATGGAAATTTTGATGAGGCGAACCGTTCTTTGGCCAAGTTGTAACCCCGATGTTCATCATTGGTCATCACGGCTGGTTTCGTGACAATGAGAGCACAGTTAGCGCGTTTGTACAACTTAGCACATCGTCAACTCAAACCCCACGCATCAAATGCCGACATCACAGTTCAAAGTCGAGACCGCGGTGGATGTCGGTTCCTCCCTAGCTGTACAAATGATGTCTATGTTCATGTGGGCTTTTTTTATACAGTGTCGGGCAAGCGGAGAGGAGGGAAATAAATACATTGGGCCAGTGACAACAGTTATGGTTGCTAACGCTCAAATCAACTGCAGGCTTATAGCCGGCAGCTGGTGAGATCCACCACATATTTCAAGGCTGGTTCTAGACGAAGAAAAAAAAAAAAATCCAAGCGTCTTCATGACACACTCGCCCCAGAAAACAAAACGTTCTTCATTCAGTGCTGCAGGCTCTCCAAACCGGACAGCCCTTTTTTTTTTTTCTCGGTGTAAACGGGTCATCAAAATGTGATTATGCGAAAGCTTAACAATCAAGAGAGAGGCGTTTATCATTTGAGTGGGTCCTGTATAGCAAGAGCGGACCGCGTGACCGTACGGTCGTTTCATTCGGATTCCTTGAAGGACGCTCATTTCAAAATCCTTTGTCATGGCAGGTGTGCTGCATTTTGTATTCAATTTTTGGTAAAATAGAGATTTAGAATAGATACATATATTCATATATCACAGTCATATACAAAATAAGTGCTGAGAAAATAAAGGTGATGATGATCTTTTGTGAACTCAGGGAGAGAATCGGGATCATAGAGGTAGGGTCTGGGAAGAGGCATGGAACTCAAATTTTGTATCCAAAGGGGCTGACGGTTTCTTTGGTCAAGGGAACGTCCCGAGAGGATGCTCGTTTCGCGTTTGAATGAAGGCAGAAAACGGCCCGACGCGCTCGCCTGCAGTCGGGTATGCGGCCAATTTATTGTGCTTGCTAAAGCTGGAGACTGATGATTGTTTTACATTCTATTTTTTTGGATTCAAATGTGCCGTTTGTGAAATGAATGGCAGCTGAAGTAAAAGCACGGAGTTCCATTCCCCCTCTCATCTCATTTAAAAAAAAAAGAAAGTGCTTCTGTTGGTATGGAGAGAATGTACGAAATGACACATCTGTACAACATATACAAGTATGATACAGTCCTACAAGTCACAAAGTCCGGCCTTTTTGGTGACTTTGAGGTTAGGGGTGTAAAATAGGCCGGCTTCATGCGCCGAGGGCATCGGAGGGTGATCGGAGGCGAACAAGGCATTATGGCAGGAGAGTGACAGAGGAGAAAGAAAATGTCTTGGAAGATGGATGGATCCATATCACCGGAGGATGCTTTGCCGCGACCGAACGCGAAGTCACCTAATCTCGTCTCTTATTCCGTCGTCCACCCGTCTCCTTTTTGCCGTGATGTTTCCTCGCGCCGTCCCCTCCCGCCAATGCCGATTTCATGGCTTCGGACGGGTTCTCTCTCTGAATGCTCTGTTGCGGCGAGAGGGATAAGTACGGGTGCTGTGGCAGCGGGGGCGGCGTGGCCGAGGGAGGTGTTGTTGGGGACTCTTGGCCGGAGCAATGGCCTCCGCTGCTCCCGGAGCTCATGGCCCGATGTTTGAGCCGGAGTTTGTGGGGTAACGCCGTGGCCTTCACTTCCCCCTGGGAGTCCCGGCCACGGCCCTGGGCCTGAGAGCAGCTCTGCGATGAGGGTTGAGGCGAGGTGGGCTCGTGGACGCCGTTGAGAAGTTGGCTGTGATAGTTGTCTGAGCAGGATGAGGACGGGGACTCGTCCTCGTCCGTGGAGGCCTCCTTGTCGGAGCTCCGCGGATCGCCGTCGCTGGATGACGTGTCTTTGCTGGAGGAGCTCGATCGGCCTTGGTAATAAGCGTCGTTGGGGAACTCGCCCTCGAAGCTCAGAATGGGCGGCTCCTCGTCTTGGGCGCTGAGGTATGAAGGAGGAGGCTGGTGGCGGCGATACAGCCGGGATTGGATGACTTCCTCCACGTGTTCGTGGATAAACTCTCCGGGCAAATGAGACTCCCGCTGCTCCCGCAGGGTCTGCTGGGGAGACGGGCAAGTCGTGTACACTTGTCCTTGTCCATCTTCGTCGCGGCTGCCTGAGAGCTCGTACAGAGGGGAGTCTGATGTTTTCCTCTCGAGCCGTTTCATCACCTCGGCAAGAGGCTCCGCGCAGGTCTCCGCGAAGGGCTGCGGCTGTAGGCCGGCGCACGCCTGGCTGCCGCTTTTGCTTTGCTTCTGCCCATCGCTATCTTGGCTCCGCGTCAAGCTGTCGACGGGACAAAAGAGAATGACGCTCCTCTGGGCAGCCGGTGGCTGAGGGGCCACCTGGCCGCTGACGGCGGAAACGGGCTCCTGGCGGGCTGGTTGTTGGTGAAGATGCTGCTGCTGCTGTTGCTGGCTGTGATAGGCCGCCTCCATCTCCTGCGAACTCTGCTGGAGCTGATGATGAGTGGGGACAGAGGCCAGACCTCGATGGATGTTAAACATGATCTGGGTGGTGGTGCCGTTGGTAATATCCATCTCCAGCCTGTCGCCTTCTTGCTTGATCTCAAAGGGAATTGGCTCCGGGCTGTCTCTGGAGGAGCCGTCCGACATGTCGGACAGGGAACCCCGGGGCGAGTACTTGGCCATCTGCCTGTGGCCCTCGCCGAGCCCGCACTGCTCGGTTTCGGAGGAATCGGAGTTCATCATCACCTGCGAACTGCTGGAGTAGCCGCTGGAGTAGTACTGAGAGGACGACGACGAAGAGGAGCCTCCGTTTCCCGCGCCGTTGCTTCCCTCAATCTGTTGGCTCTTTTCAATGTAAGAGGCGGTGCTTATCAGGCCAAAGCGCAGCTTCAACTGGAGCAGCTCCGTCTTGAGCCTCACGTTTTCGTCGTTCAGCGCGATGACCCGGTTCTCCAAAACCATGTCATTCAGACGCCGCTTCTCACGGGAGCGCTTGGCCGCCTCGTTGTTCTTGCGCCGTTTCTCCCAATAGGAGGCATCTTTCTTCTCATCGGAAATGAATTCGCGTTTTCGCCTGCAGGTCATGTTGGGTTTGGGTTTGAGGACCCGGCCTATGCGAGGCGGCGTCCCTTGGAGAGACGGCATTGACTCCTCATAACCGGCGAAGGTCTCGAGGCAGGTGATGCTACTTCCGGAGTTTTTGAGGACTGAAGTCAGATTTTCCATTCTTGTCTGGTAGGAGCCAGTTTGAACGGGAAACTGAGCAAAACAACGGGTCGGAGATCAAGGTGATGTCGCTCGCCCCTTTCAAAGCTCCTTGAAGATCTCGATCAGTTTATTTACTGGAAGTGCGGCTCAGGCCGGAGGGAGATCAAGCGTCCAAATGAGCCAAAAAGATCAAGAGGAGTTGCAGCTCACAGCCTCATTGATCGACTTGTTGCTGCGGTTACTCGAGCTCCAATTCCTGACTGAGACGCTGAAGCTGGAATTGAATCAAAGAAAATATGTTGTTTAGTTACAAGTGGATTATGTTTTTGCTTTAGTTTTTTTTTTTTCCAGAATAATGGCTCATTGAGTAAATCAGGAAATGTTGTACCCCAGATCTGCATGCAAACAGCAGCAAGTCCGTCCGCCAGTCGACTTCAGTGTGCCGCTCTCTTGGCGACTCTTGCTCGTTTTCCCGCCTTCTCTGTTCTCTCTCTTGTCGCCGTCAAGATTAAAAGCTGAAGAGATCAAAACAAACCGCAACAAAAGACATGATCATGTTGCTCAACTCCTGACACATTTGCATACAAGAGTGAAAATGAGATCGTCTTCAATCCCTCGCCCCCTTTTTTTCTGTTGCGTGCGCACAGTGACAAAAGGCACGTTAGCTTTTGCACGTCGGGTCCCATGGCAACCAACGAGAGGACGTACGATACCGTCTGACCTCTGTGCTCCGCTATTGATCCGCATTGTCTGCAAGCCTATGACCCTTAACCCTTAGCCTGTGATGTAATGTGGTCACTGGGTTCACCGCAAGGCTTAAGGTCCCGTTTTTATCTCGTCATCCACGTGAGCTTTTTGGGTATATGCACAAGTCGAGCCGGCGGCGGCAAACCACTGCATCAGAGGCTGGAAGCTCAAATGAAAGGTATAAGTGGGTCAAAAGTCATTCGGGGGTCTTTGTGGATGAGACAGGAGCAGCCCCGCTTGCCTTTTCCAGTGAGAATTCCCCCATGTGTAAACACTTTTGAAAACAGTGTAAACCCTTTTGAAAACAGCTTCCCCCCCCCCCCCCACCACCACCCTCTGTGCATTCAGCCTCAGAGGAATGTGGCAGCATTCTTCACCAAAACAACCAAATCAGTGATGCAGGGAGAGCAGATAAGGCAGACAAAGGCAACCAGCCAGTGCAGGTCAAGGAAAAAAAAAAGAGGCCGAGACCGGGGCATGAGATTTTGAGGCCTAAGTGTGTGCGTGTATTTGGGGAGAAGTGAGCTCGGAATTATTGATAAATATAGGTCAAGGGCCACTTTGAAAGACAGAATGAGGGTCGAAAGGCAGGACTGACAAAGCTTGCTAACATTTGCTACAACATGAAGGCGGTCTGTGTGTGTTCATGATGTCTGCATCAGAGATGAAACACAAAAAAACCAAACTGCCAGTCTGAGGAGGGAAATCAGTTCGCTTCATTCATGACCACTTCCAGGACCAACGATTAACTTTTGCACATGTTGACGTGTCACTTAAGTCGACGGGAAGGAGTACAGTATTCGTGTAACACCTGGTCAAGTTTAAGGGCCGCCGTAGGTATTAATCCACATCTGCTCTTCTCGGTGACTTTAGACTATTAGACCGTCTGAAAAGCAATTTCATGATATGAACTAAACGTATATCTTATATTGTGATTTTTCCCGAATAAACCGACCCCATGATGTAATGCTCCAAGTATACAATGCCCTGAAATGTATCATGTGCTGTGCATATTTCCTGCCGTTTCAAAGAATCATTGTTCAGCTTCAAAGCCAGACGAGGACAAAACCGGTTATGTGCTCGCATGGCTTTCTGGCAGCGGTGAGGCCGATTGGGAAAAGACACACGTTTCACAGTGTGCCCCACTGACCCAGAAAGTCCATTTGCCTCCACTGTACAGAATCTAGGTCACCAGAACTGCAGCGAGATGTAACCCCTCAGAGAGGAGCCAGAGATCAGAAGAAAGACAAAACGGGATGGGAGACTTGAGGGAAAAAAAAAAAAAAGAGAGAGAATGTGTAAAATTGCAGCAGGGTGTAAGAGGAGGAAGCAAGTGTGTGTAGACAAAGAAATGAATCAAAGCAAGAGAAGCGCAACAAAGGATGAGATGGCCGCTTGATACGGTTGGATAACAGGAGTGACTGCAACAACATAGGTATTGCATCGACACAAGGAAGGTGTCACCCTTGGCAAAAAGTGGGGGTCGGGGGGGTGAGGGGTCACATCCGATGTCAGAGCCCCAACAATCAACATAGGGTGACGTGATCAAAAGCAGATGATTCGTCAGCATTTGAAAAGGTCAGTGGGTGACATCCCCCCCATCTCCCACATTAGTGAGCGTCTTTTACTCGTCTGAGTTGCAGCTCACGCTCCTCCTTTCCTTTTCTCTCACTCGCCCTTTTTTTTTTTTTAAACTCTTTTGAACAGGCAAATGAAGGCAGCTATTTAACTTGCATGAGTAACTGGCATTTATGACTCAAATATACAAAGAGATTAGGCTCCAGCGGGCAAACCTGATCTGCTGATCTAAGTACTGTACGTGGCCGTGACCTAGATCACTCCTTCCAATTTCTCATACACATCACGTGTCATGCGCGGCTCTCTCTGGCACTTGTGGAATGATAAAAGCAGCCAAGTTGCGGCTCGTTCACGCAAACCACCGAGCCCAAACTGCAAGACTCTAAATGTGGCACCGCTCGCTGGAAAAAGTGGATCGAGTTCAAGCCCCGGCACGTGTTGCCGCGGAGCATTTCAGGAAATAGGAGCCGGCCAAAAATAAAAGGCACATGGCTCAAAAGAAGGGGAATGATGAAACGGTCCCCCTCGTCCTACAAAGGGGAGGGGGTTCGCTATATGGCACGTGACTGTGAAGTTGTGGGGTGATGCCATGGGTGGGGTCGGTGTGAATTCCAAATCTGGGTGCAGACTTTGTGTCCACTTCAAAAAAAAAAAAAAAAAAAACATGCAGGGATGGGGGCGGGGGCTTCAAGAAAGCCTGCCAGCAAGGTGGAGTCCTATCGAAACTGGATCCTTGTTCCAAGAACACGCAGCCGTATCAGCCCTCTCTCACTGGAAAAGGGAAAAAAAAAAGCTGAGTGACTCAGTCCATGTGTTTGGCCAGTCACATGTGCTCCCTTGGCCTACTAAACGCTGTAATTCGCCTGCGCTTGCAGCAACAACCGCAACGCAATAACAAAGCACGACACTCATCTTTTATAATCTCACATGTGCCCGGAAACCCAGACAATCAACTTGTCTCATACTTTTTGAAGTGGCTTCAACTGATAATGTGGATAACAAACAACGTTCCAACTGGGTTCAGCGTCATTACAGTCGACTTTTAGTCAAAGTTTGGACTTTTTTTTACAATTTTTTTTTTTTTTTTTACATGCGCTCTTGAGGTTTTTTTATTATTAGCCAATGTCCATTTGTGTCGTTATGACTGGTGAGGATTCTATAGTGTGGTTCTGACAGCGGTGCACGACCAGGCCTTTGGTTTTGTGCCTCACCTCACCTCCCACAGGAGTGATGTGACCTACATTTATAGCTGGCGCGGAGACCGGCTGTACGCCACCCAACTGGCGGTGTCCTCGTCACACAATACGGACGCAGACGGCACAGACCAACGGTTTCCCCTGATTGCGTAATAACCCCATTTCTAGAAATTGGTTTGAATCGATTCGTTCACTTGCATTTTTTTTTTTGGATTTAGATGTGCAGATTTCAACGTGCCGACATTATTGCTTCCACCCTAAAAGGCTTTTCGCCGTGCGTGCCAAATAAAGTTTACATTCATCGCACTTTATATTACACACGATGTATGACGGGCTTTACGTTGGAGGATGATTTCAGCAGGCCATGACGAAAAACCTGCAAGGGCAAGTGGGGTAACCACAAGCACGTGCTCTGTAGTTTCCTCCAAAACAAAAAAAAAAAGCTTGTAATAGCTTTGCCCACTGTTTTGAATCCGTTTGACTCCATCTTGAATCTTAAAACAGAATGAAACAGTTTAGTTTTTGTTTGCCCATCATTAGTGGTAGTGGTTATACTTCGCCCGGCGTGCCTTCTTTGTTGTACTGTCTTCAAATCACATTCATGCAGATTTAGCTGCATCCCCGAGTTCAGCTACAATGGATCCAAAATAAACAATCACTACGCATATAAACGCTGCAATGTAATCACCGACAGTGACCCTCGTCTGACCCACATTTGATCCAGATGTTCCCCACCTCACCTTGCAGCAGTTGCAGTCACCCAAGCCGGTTAACACCGCCATTCTTCTATCTATCTATCTATTTCATAAATAGGAAAATCACAATCCGGACGTCAACACGAAGCACTCGCGGCTCGATCGTATCTGACGTCGCCTCTTCCCGGTTTGTGTTTGCGGCTTCTTGGGCGGGGACTGAAGGGTTAAGCCCGGAGGACCGCACAGCCACGTTAACCTTTTCCAAAGAAGCAGCTACACGTGACACGCAGAAGTGTGTCCGCCGAGCCGAGCGCTCCGCTCGTCTGCACGGACTAGCCTACTAACCCACAACTCGTCCAAAGAGGTCGCCGCTCAAATTTCTGCAACCACGAACACATCTTGAAGGAGAGGAAGAGTAAAGAGAGGAATGATCATAATGATCATGCTAATCATAATCGCGTTAATTGTAATAATTGCAATAATAGCCGCGACAACAACAGCGACAATAATAATAATAATGTATTCAATTACTGTACCGTATATGCACGGTACCAAACCACGTGTGTTGTGGATGCAAGTGGAGAGACGAAACAGATCTGATCAATGATCCAAATAATGAATGATTCATCATTGTAAAATAATGCCCAAAAAGAAGCAGTGTCCCCCCAAAAGGCGGAACCTCCACCTCGAGGTCTTTTCTCTCACGCGCAGACCCTCACTCACATCGTTGACAACGGCGTGGCGAGAATTGCTCCCAAGGTCCGAATGAGCCCCGTTTTAATTTGACCAAACAGCCGTTGACGTCGAGAAATGACTGAAAATCACCAACAAAAACTCACTCAGTGGCTTGCATGAGAGAATCCACAGTGGGCACCAATCGGCGTGGTTGTCTGATGTCGTCTCATCCTCCAAAACACGACTCAGCCTCCGCCAATTTTTGCCAAACTCCAGCTCTCCGTTCGGTGCACGTATCAAGGAGGCGCGCGAGCACAGTGGATCTCGATCTCAGTGCCTCGCTCATGTCATGTTTGCTCCAATTCCTCCCTCTCCCAATTTCCCCTTCTCTCTCTCAGCGTCGAAATGTATGTTAGTAGGTCAGTTGTTGCATAACAGGACGCTTTGGGTGCCTAGTCACGTTTTTTGTTTCTCTCCGAGTTCTGCCCCCTCCCCTCTCCCCGCGCCTTCGAATCCCATTGCAGAAGGGAACCGGGGGGGCGGGGCCGGTATGATGAAAGAGGCGTGGCTATAGACGTCAAACGCTGTCAGTCCAGACGGACAGAGGATGTAAAATTGTGCTGCGAATCGAAAAAGGCGAAGTGATTGCGGCAATGGATGCCAACGCGCGCACATAAACAGCCACAAAAGTGTTTGTTTTGATCAACCCTTCCAACCTGACTTCGGGTGACTTCAGCAAGAACTTCTAAAAAACCAGCTGCTAAAAACCCCTCCGTCATGATTTGACTTTTTGTTTTGTTTTGTCCAATCACAGTTCGGCCAGTCTGAATCGGTCTTGGCGGCTGATGTAACTTAAAGCATATTGGCAATGGGACTGGTTCTTGACCCAATCAGCTCCCCTTGGCCCTCGGTATTTTACTGTCCTCTAAAGGGGCGAAGAGGTCAGAGCAAAACCTGCTGCAACCTACTTTGACGACAGTAAAATACAATTTCAGCAATCTGCACACATTCAGGGACTTGATTTACATTTAATAATCATGACAGAAATATGGATTCTACAACTCCACATTGGCATGCTTTTATGTCGTGTTTTTGTGTCATCTGCTTGAGTTTGGCAGAGGTGAATAGAACGTTCCAAGGTTCATCAGAGCAGGCCTAACACGTTTTTCTCCAGTGTTCATCTTGCTCCACATAGCGTCGAATAACCAAGCTGCTATTGAAGCTCATGTTGTGAGTCAGCTTGATTGCAAGCAGCAATACGCATGCTGGCAGACTTGGCGTGTGGAAACGATGAGAGTGAAACTGTTTTGCCGTGGTGCAACAAGTCGACTTGGAGGTCCGGACCGTGTGAGGCGGCCCAAATAGTTGAGCGGCTCTCAAACATGACCGCACTGCAGGGGGAATCACCGCAGCATATTGGGTTGAGAACAAAGTGCTTTGTGAACGCAGATCATATTTGAACTGCACAATGTGAAGGCTGCAGTTTGCATGCCGGTGTGTGCGTCTTCTTGTGAGGTGTGAATGCTGTGATTGAGGGTGGAGGTATACTGTCACCCACGCCCAAAAGACCTTCCTTTTAAGGAGATCAGTAGGTTGTCGTAGGACTGGAGCCAGCGGATGATAATGACCACACCAGAGTTTTTCTCGAAGTAGCGTTACAGCCGTCATAACTGCAGTGGTATTATTTTTTTTTTTTTGCAGTCTGGGATGGTTTTGTTGTCTTCCATGACAAATATTTCACTCCGGAAGGCACAGTTCTTCTGACGAAACAATGGCAGGAAACTGTCAGTTAAGACTCCACGCATTTTACCCTTCTCACCCACTGCACTCCCCATGTTTGCAGCCTAAACGTTACTCCAATAGCTACTTGCCGATGGCGCGGTCATTTAAAAAGAAAAAACATCCGCCCACCAACAGCGTCTTTTTTTTTCAATAGAGCTTCGTCTTCCTAACGTGCTGATTTTTTTTCCCCATGTTTTCCTTTCTCAAGGCATTGGACCATTTCACATATTATGCATAAAAACATCCTCCTTTAATAATTTTCACGGAACGGGGCTCACCTGGGCAGCCTCATCTAGTTTTGAAAATTGGCAAGTTCAAATCTCTACTGTGGTCTTCCTTTAGTGGAGTTTCACATGCTCGCATGAGCTTTCTACCGGCACCCTTGCTTCTTCCTCTCACATTCCCAACCAAACTTAAGTATTGATCGATACTTCAATTCTCGCTGCATCATAATTCGGCTCTACCTTTCGTTTAATCCGATGACTGTAAAAAACTAGCTTGAAGTATTGTGTGTCCACACAAGATACTCTATGCACGACTTTTGCAAATTAGAACCGGGTACGACGCATGTGCAAGTATGAGCCTCACTCAATGTGACATTTACAAGATACTCTATGCACGACTTTTGCAAATTAGAAACGGGTACGCATGTGCAAGTATGAGCCTCACTAAATGTGACATTCAAACTGTATCATCCACACGTTTGATTTCGAGACTTATGCATATTTAAATTTGGATTTCAAATCGGGATGATCTGGAATGCCGCTCTTTGTTTCCCTCCGCGGATGAAGGAGACAAATAGCACCGAAGGAGCCCAAGCATTGGCTGCATGTGCACATGGATGCCCCTCCCCCATAAAAACACACATTCTCTCTGTCTCAACATCGCTCCTTTCTTTTTTTTTTTCCACCCCATCCTGATCCCCACCCGAGCAGCCCCCCCCCCCCAGTTCTGTCTGCAAGCGTTCCCATGGCAACTGTCGCATTGCCTGCCTAGCAACAGGCTTTATCCTTTGACTGAAAAAAAAAAAGGATGGTGGTGGTGGTGGTGAGGGCAACAGATTGGGGGATAGAGGGGGTTGTGAGAGTTACGTAGATGAGAGTAGTAACATATTGCAGCGGCTTCATTAAATCGCATTCCTTTCTCCTTCCTGCTCCACACCTGCAGCATCTGTCGCGTATCGGCGGCCTCTTTACCTTTGCGTTCCACCGCAAGATTGTGCATTTAATTTTTAAAAATAGAACTTTCAAACGTATGAGAATCGTTGTTCCACCCATGTTGAGGAGGGAATGTGCCTCGTGATTTCTTTGAGGGCGTACCACAGCTCACCCCCAAAGTCAGCTGTGGAAGGCCTTCAGCTCCAGGTCAGCAACCGACCCTTAGTGAGGATAAACTCGACATAATATGGATGAATTTACGTGGTTTGGCTTACACAAATATTGAGGTGGATTAAGTGGAACAAAAACAAAAGGATCGTGGCTTATTTGCATGATGAAAACGAATTCGACTCGACAGTGACCCTCAATGCTCCTGTCTTTGCCGCCCCCTGGCGGACAACAAAAGGAAAATGAAAGGAACCCAACCAATTGACTTGGTTCGTGAGCCGAGAAACGGATGACTTCAGAGTCGCAACCGAATATTAATATTCATACTAGATCCCAGAGATGGTCAGTTTTGTGTTAGACTTTGTGATTTGCATTTCATATTTTCGCCCTGGGTGATAAAACTGAAGAGAAACACGCAGAGTGTGCCGAAGCACCGTTCGTGCATTTCTCGAACACAAGTCAACACTTTGGGTGGACTTGATTGACTAAGACGTGAACAGGAACCATCATAGAATCGTCGTGACTTTGTCAAATGTTTATTTGAGTTGAAATAAAAATATACAGACAACATTTAAACTTAGCATGAAAAGAGAAGTTCACAAACAACAGACAGTAACAGTGTTCGACTGCTTTGCTTGAGAATAAACACGAAGTGCGTCGATAAACGTCAGCTAACACACACCGAAGGAAACTTGAGTCTCGTGTTTGTATGAGTTTACCTCCATCTTGTGTATACCCGCCACCGTCCTATCTGCTATCGGTTTCCAGTGATCGAGCTGACTTGTCTCAGCAGTGCAAAGCTTTTGCAATCTTATGAGGTCGCAACTACAAACTCTTGCTTCCCCGGGTGTCAAAATGCTTGGCGAAAATGTTGAGAGGTGTCCATGTTATCTGCAGTCTTGAGTTGTCACAGTGCATCGAAATGAAAGTACAGTCAGCATTCGTGAATTCACCGGTTTAGCAGATTTTTTTTTGGGGGGTGGGGGCAGGAAAAAACGTACCTATTCAAGTCATTAAAGTATTACTTTGCAGCCTTCTCATGGCAATTTTTGCTATTCCCCAAATGACCGCGAATAGCGTGAGAGAACATTGTACATCCGACACAGAAAAAGAAGCTCCATGTCCGAGGTGTGCAACCTAAACAGCAGACTACAAGAGGAATAGAGCTCGGCATTTATGACAAAATAATGCAGTCTTTGAAAAACAAATTGTTCGAGAGTCAAATGTGATCTTTCAGGAAACATTTCATGAAGGAGGAGCGCTTCCTAGTTGACATTGGCCATGAGCTGCTCTGTGAAAAGTTTCTTCAGCTGAGCCACTTCCTTGCTCAAAGAGCTGAGCTGAGACTTCAGGTAGTTGTTCTCATGCTGATACTTGACCTCTGCGTGTCCTTGAGCGGGAGGCTGCAGGCTGAAGTTTGGGGGCGAGGGGACATACTGGGGCGACTGTCTTCCCCTCCTGCCTCCGTCGCCCTGCAGAGGAAGCCAGGGGCCCGAGTGCCCCCCTCCTGTTTCGCCCCTCATCAGTTCCGGGCCATTGGGGGTCTCTCGCGGGACCTCTACCGCGGGCGGTACCGGGCTGCGTCGAGTGCTGTTGGGATCACCCGTCGCATCGCTCGCCTCACAGTTACCGGGTGTTTTGAAACGCAGTTTATGGGGGAGGTTCTTCATAGCCTCGGCGTGGTCCGCCCTATGGTGGGGGGCATCGGCAGAGGACGGGTAGGGGTCCAAGGTCATCTCCTCCGCTCTGCGCGGGGAGGATTTCTCATGGTCACTGAGCCGGTCTTCGAAGTCGACCGGGCTTCCAACACTGGACCCACCTGGAGTGGAAAACCCGGAATCTTCGGACAGGTTGCCGCCGTCTCTGGAGCCCCGCCCGCTCGGCTGGTTGTTGCCGTGCGACGATGAGGAGTTGAGGAGATAATAGTGGGGAGTCACATTCGCAGGGGTGTGCGGAGGAGCCGCGGACAGGGGCAGGATGGGCGCGTTGGAAGGGTCTTTGACCAAACCAAACCGGAACTTGAGAGCCAACAGCTCGGCCCTGAGGCGAGCGTTCTCCTCCAGCAGGGCCAGCACGCGACTCTCCAAGACCATGTCGTTCACGCGTCGCTTTTCCCGCGAGCGCTTGGCCGCCTCGTTGTTCTTTTTCCTCTTGTCCCAGTAGCCTTCGTCCTTCTTTTCGAGCGGGATGAACTCCCGCTTGCGCCGGATGCTGGACGAGGGGCTTTCTTTGCGCTTGACGGTGGTGGTGCGCCCCAGCAGGGAGCGAGCCAACAGGTTGCCGGAGGTCAGGACGGACATGCTATCATCTGGGAAGGACAGAATGACTCCTTCTCCTTCTCCCGAGGACTTGAGTGGCTGGAGGTTCGCTCCATCCCGCTGCATCCTCATCTCCTGGGATACCTCCTCAAACATTGCGTTGATGTCAAATAGCGGCAACAGCGCAACCTAGTGGCGATAGAGACACAACGGAGGGATTTGAATGCTTACGCAACGGCCATTACAACACGATATTATGTAACTCTATTACACTACTCTCAGTGAAACTGGAGCAATGCGTACCGTAATATGTGATCAATATGTGCTAATGCCCGATGTTACCTGACACTCAGCCGGCGTTGTGGCGTAACAGTTTTTTTTTTAAATGTTATACTCGCCTGCATGACTTTGACCTACATTTTCATTTGGCTTAACCCGTCAACAGAAAGCGCGCTCTCTCCGCCGCAGAGGAGAGCGTCTTTTAAAATCGACTTGAAATTCCGGTCAACCGCCAACAGGACGACCGACCCACTTCTGACGGGAACACGCCGATCGCCGGCGACGGTCTGTCCAAACGAGAACAGCCCGCAGCCGTTCTGCTCACGTCAAAAGCAGCATCCCCCCCGCCCCCGTCACATCCTTCTCACCTAAACTCAGACCACGCCAGCACATTTGGCACTTCTCTGCTACCTCTTTTTTTTCACCCCCAGATACATTTGGAAACTAATAGTATGTCCACCAAATCGAAGGATCGATTAAAAACTAAAATAACAACATGCATTGATGTCTTAAACAACAGCAATAATACTAATAATGGAAATAGTTGTACCTGTAATGGGAATTCGGTGCTCTGCTCTCTGGCCCCTACGTGCTCGATGCAGATGCTGCCGGCTCGGTTATGTGACTTAATATGATCAGCCGTACGGGTCCGTTCTTGACTCTGCCCCACTTGGAAGAGCGCTGCGGCTTATTTGTAGCACGGAGTTCAGTTCGGGACGGTCTCTCCTCGCATGAACCAGCCGGGGCCCCGTTGGTGTGCAAATTGGACGCTCAGGGACCGCCTTCCAACGAAACGACCCCTCTCGTAAGCCCTCCCCCGTCGACCGCCCGTGCAGAGGAAAGCTCCCGACTGTCGCCGCAAATAGCAGATGCCGCCGTCATCTGACCTCATCGACTCCTCCCACCGCCGGATAAACGCGTCATCATGAAGCAATGTTACGCCACTGCAACCCGGCGAAGCAGAAACCTCTCGGTCGACAATCTGAAATGTCTCTCTCTAAAGCATGAATGAGCTGTGCACGATTATCAGGAGCAGGAAAGAGTTGATGTAACAGAATTTAAAAATATGTATTTTTTTTTCATGTCTTAAAGAAAAATATCCATCCCATGACACCCCTGCATGATCTGATTTGATCAATGATTGTGGGCATGCTGGAGCCTATCCCAGCTGCATTCGGGCAGTGTGTGTGTGAGGGGGTAGTGGGGGGGGGGGGTAACCTGAACTGGTTGCCAGCCAAGCACAGAGCACACGTAGGCAAACAACCATCCCTGCTCTGTGCATGTTTTTGGTTTTGTGGGAGGAAAGCCGAGTACCAGACGGCGGCGGCACTGGCGCTTGGCTATGGCAGGTAGCGTTGGCTGACTGTATGTTTTCAGAGATGTAGTCGGAGCACTGCAGTTGTTTGTTTCATGTCTTCTAAAATTACAATCACGATTTAAAAAAAAAAAACTTGACAAAATAAAACCTTGCGTGTTAAGTTGAAACCTCTACGGCAGCATCATTTTTCATCATGACTGCCAATTTGAATTTTAAACACCAACTTGACTTGTTCCTGGCCGGTAGGCAGCAAGTGACAATTAGAAAGCGAAGTATTGTGACTCAGTGTCAAACGGCTCAACAGACCTGTTTTGTTGTGAAAGGATGATGTATGCGCTTTGAACGACAAGGCACTCCCCTTGACGGTCTCATGTCACATAAGTAAACCGCCTGAGCAAGCAAACATGTTTACGTTTGTCGCGAGGCAAACTTCGGGCCTCGTTCCCGTCATTGTTTGGCCAGCTTGATATCTTGATATCAGCTTTACAGTCACACGACAGGACCTAAAGATTTATTCATCCGAAAAAAGAAAAAAAAATCTGCCTTCCATCTCTTTTGTATGTCCTATTAGCGGGATATTTGGAAATAATAACATGCAGTTCCAGAACAACCATTCCAGGGCTCAGTAGCATTTCTACATTGAAAGAACACAGCAGGGCTTTCGGAAGAACCGAAATCTTCAGGGTCACAGCGACCGTTGGGTTTACACAACAGGAAGTCGATTACATCACAGGTCTGGTTGCCTTACGAAAGAAATGTAACACTCGGAGTTCTACTCTTGAAGGCGGCCTTGCGTCAGGCTTTTTTTCGAAATGGTTTGCGGGTCTTTCGCATGCCATTCTCTTAAGTGTGTCAACATTGTGGACACAAGGCCAGAAAAAAAAGTACACTCTTTAGTTATGGACTAATTCAACAAGAGTTTTAGTAGGAGGCTATAACTTCATCACATTTACATAACGTTTCATCGACAGGAGCCTGCAATGTTTTTCTAATGCATCAGTACAAGACGTAACGAGGCAAGTCTGTTGTGAACTCAAGCCAATAAACTTGGTAAGAGAAGAAACTTAAGTCAGTCAAGAAGTTCGGCGAGTTTCAACTGAAATTCTTGACATTCAAGTCCCCAAATGGAACGTCTGACTTGTTTCTTTGACCCGAAATAAACCCGCAGACACCGAGAAACACGTCAGCCAAAGAATTTACGAGAAGGCTGTGAGGTGACTTGCTTCAAGCTGTAAACTAAACTCACGCTTTCACCAAACAAAAGCAAAATAGGAAGCACCGAGCCTTCCATCAGCTGATGAACGGGCTGGCAAATAGCAAAAAGGGGCAAGCTTCATCTTGCTGTGACACAAAGGACCAATCATGGGATATTTTTTTACGAGAGATGAATTTCACAACTCGCTTAAAGCAGCGATAGGCGAACCGTGCAGTGATGCAGTGTCACCTTGAGACTTTTAAAACGTTTAAGTCTTACAAAATACACAAAGTACAGTGACGCCCCCAATTTGATTCAAATTAAATTGCTATGAAGCCATGCTAATTGAAATCAGGACTACTGTGGTGTTACTGTTACACCGATTGTACTGAGCGGCTTCTGCGAAAATGGCTTCTCTTGTTGCCACCTCACCACCGCGTCACAGCGACTACCAGGTGTGGTTCGAGGGTTATCATGGTATTTGTCATGTTTACGTCCACTAAGTACGCATTTACTTGGTTGTTTGATTTCACGCTTGACGTCTCGAGATGCAGCTATCTGGATACACGTAATTAAAAAAAAAAAAATCACTTCTCCACAATATGCCCCTTTTCAAGATGACGTGGGGTATTTTCTCAATTTGTGGCCGTCATGGTGAATATACAGATCTTTATTCAAAGGAGTCTCACCTCAGCAGGACTGGGCAACAAAAGGGTGTTACACAAGCCATAATAAGCAAGACAGGGAGATGGCAAGCGCCAGCAAATTCTCGTTACGAAAACAACCCGCAGGGTGCCAACAGATTTCCAGTTTGGAGATGCTTGCGAAAGTTAACCGAGAAGGCCAGGTTACATGGTGTCACCCGTAGGAGCCTATTTCCACCCCTGAAATAGACCGGGAGCAAAGTCGTTGCAAAAGGGCAACAGGGTGGCTGACATAGTGAGCCCATCACAGAAAGGAGGGCAGAATCTACGCCGGCATTTGTTCATTTGTGCACCTTTTTTTAATTTTGCCCTCACACTCGGACGACCGTGCTCACGTCTTCACGGTGAAGCTTGTAAAATCTGCCGCAGGAACACAACGTGCTGCGACAACAGAGCAGCAGCAAAGTAGACCAAGGCTTGGCCTACTTTTTGCGCCCCGAATAAGGTTACCTAATGTGATAATACCCAGTGGCATTCACGAGCTGCAGCCAATTGTCTGTTATGTCAGGCACTGAAAAGTGACAATGGCAAAAGCAAACTCGAGAAACAGTGCGCGAGTTTACATCTAACTGTGACACCAGCATACCTCACTCATTTGTCACCATCTCTTTCTCTCACTCTATCCATATCTATCCATCTATATCCACACATATAATTTATTTATTTATTTATTTGCTGATATCTTGTTTATCAATGACCATCGATTGTGTTTGCTTTTTTCTTGCTGAAAGATGTGGAAGACAACGGCTTCCTGAATTCTTCTCGTGCCGGTGGGATATGCTGGGAACCCCTCACCAGGGAGACATCCAGGAAGCATCCGAACCAAATGCCTGAGCCACCTCATCTGGCTCTTCTCGGCGTGGAGGAGCAGCGGCTCGACTCGGAGTTCCTCCCGAATGAACGAGCTTCCCAACCGATCCTCAAAGCCTCCCGGCGGTCGGTGTCCATGAGCGAGCTTTTGCTTCAGCGTTCTTGCTCACCCGTCAGCTGCCTCCGGAGCCACCCGGGCCAAAGTGGCTCGGCCAGGATGCGACTCCGTCATCATCTTGATGGCACATATTCAGATTTAGAAAGCTTTATTTTAAGACAATTAAGGGAAGATCTATAAATGTAAATAATGATATTTTGTGGTCATGATATGTTTTGAAGTGAAAGAAAAAACAAATACCAATGTCTTTAGACCAAAACACATTTATATAACGGCACGGAGTTAAGCCCCCATCATGCACTGGACTGATGTATTGGTGTCGCTATAAATAGGCCATGAGTCATTTTGCTCGACTTGGGGTTCAGTTTCATAACAAGGGGAGTGTGAGTGCTGCATGCGCTTTTTTTTTTTTTTTGCCCGCAAATTTCTGCTGGTTTGTCAGGTCAACTACAAACGTGCTTCCTCCGTCCAGCCTGCTTATCACATCACACTTTCTGTCTTAGTGCACCGAAAATCAGAGGTAGGTTTTTAGCACATCCAAGACAGATGCCAAGAGCCTCCGAACCTGCTTTCCTCTCAACGATTCTATTCTTAGCCTTGGAAATACGTCACACTGTTGCCAACGCAACCCCATTTGATGGTTTGGGGAGGGGAGATGGGTTGGGTCATGAAATGCACACAGGACTAAAATAAAATAAAAGAAAGTGAATGCAGGACAACCGAGAGATTTTTTTTTTTTGAACCACTTAAAGAATCACCATCAGTCTTCTTAGAACTGTCAAAGTAAACCATCCATTGGCCCAGGATGCAGCTGGCCCCTTGCCCCAAATCAGCCAGGAAAGGCTCCAGCAGGCCAGCGCCCCCGGTGAGAGCGAAGTGCTTCGGCTGATGGATTGATCGACGGATGAAAATGTACAAGCTGCTGCTGTGACAGACAACTGTAAATGGTTGGCTCAAAAGACGTCTTTAATTTGGGGACAAAGGGTTCATTCAGACGAGCGCAAAACCATCCCCGGTTATGTAAAATGTTTTGCAGTTGCATAAGCTGTTCCGAATCACATATAGTGCACCGTGTACTTTTGTTTTCAGTCCAGCATACAGCTGGCAGTTTTCTGCGCACTCACCCGAATTTTTTTTGTTCCATTTTGTTTGATTCAATTTGGGTGGACCGGTGGACCAGTGGTTAACGTGTCGACCTCACAGTGCAGAGGTTGTGGGTTCAATCCCAGCTCCGACCTCCCTCTGTGGAGTTTGCATGTTCTCCCTGCGTGGGTTTTCCCCGGTAAGAAAACGTTTGAAAATCTGTCTTGGGCTCTTTTTTTTTTTTTTTTTAATATCCTAAAAACTAAGGTTTGGAATGTATATATCCACTGTAGCCCAATTAAACATTAAAAACATGAAAATAATCCTCAAATGTCAAGAAAAGAGACAACAATGTCCAAAACCCATGTCAATGAGCGTCACCCATTGGTTTATGTATTGCGCTGACTTGTCTGAGCATTATTGTTGCACTCTTGCAATCTGATCTCACGGAGTGAGACAACCGCAGGAACAACCCAGAGGGGAGAGAGAATCGGAGGGTTTGTTTAGTACAATGAACAATCAACAGGGCCATTTGAGGTCTGTGGACTGTGTCTGTGTTCCAACGACCCACTGTTCACTTATTCATTACTTTTCAGTGACTGAAGATAGTTGGCATTAAGAACATGCCGTATCAT